TAATCAAAATGTGTATTTTAATAAGTACTATATCTACCTATTAATCGTATATTATTTTATATAATATGTATATATAAAATAAATTATATAAATATTATAAATTCATTTATTTTATTTATTTATTATTGATTAATAAAATAAGAAATAATATCAATATCTACTTAATTATATAACCCAATTATTATCTTTAAAATTTCTAATATTAATATTTATTAATCTATTTATTTATCATAATCATTATTATTTACTTTAAATATTATATATATTTTGTTTTATTATTATTATTATTATTATTATTTATATCTATTATTTATTTATTTATTATTTCTTTTTATTAATATTATTATTATTTAATTTTAGATGTTATATTTTCCCTCCCCCAAATTTAATTTTGTCCCTAAAATTTATACATACCTTTTTTAAAAGAGCTCTAGATAACTTTGTCGTAGTTCATCTTCTTTTTCCCACCTGGCTTCGTATGGTGAAAGTCCTTCCCAATGTACTTTGATTAACGAAATCATTCTATTTCTCAAATCCTTCAAACTTTTATCAAAGATTTGAAATGACTTTGTCTTAATAGTTAGACACTCTTTAACTTGTACTGAATCTATATCAAGAATATGAGAGGGATCTGCGACATATTTTTTAAGCTGAGAAACATGAAAAACACTATGGAGATTGAAAAGATGAGGTGGAAGAACAAGTTGATAAATAACCGGCCATATCTTTCGAAGTATTTGAAATGGATTAATATACCTAGAGCTTGATTTTCTAACTCTAAGGGTTCTAACTATTCTTGTGGAAAGTTTTAAGAACATATGTTCTCCTTCTTCGAAGCCAAAGGTTTACGCCTGTTATCAGAATAATTTTTTTGTCTGCTTTGAACTTTTTCCAGATTTTCCTTAATCCTCTGAATTTCTCTCGAGGTTTCTTGGACTAATTATGGTCCCAACAACTGGTTTTCCCTTTTTTCATAATAACACACTGGAGATTTACACTTCCTTCCATAAAGTGCCTCATATGGAACGATTCCAATACTATAATGAAAATTGTTATTATAAGCAAATTCTATGAATGGTAAGTATTTATCACAGCTACCTCCCTGTTCAAGGATACAAGTTTTGAGCATATCCTCCAAAGCCTAAATGGTTCTTTCAGTTTGACAATCAGTTTAAGGATGATAGGTTGTACTACGTCTCAACTTAGTTTCAAAAGCTCGCTACAAAGATCCCCAAAATCTAGAAGTAAATATAGGATCTCTATCTGACACAGTACTCAGAGGTACCCCATGAAGTTTAACAATTTCTTTTATATATAATTGGGCTAATCTCTTTGGTTAATCGATCAATCATTATCCAAATTGCATCATACCCCTCTTGGGTTCTTGGTAAATCCATCGCAAATTCAGTGGCTACACTTTCCCTCTTCCATTCTGGTATGTCTAATGATTAAAGTAATCCTGAAGGCTTTTGATGTTATATTTTTACTTTTTGACAAACTAAACACTTTGAAACATACTTAGCAATATCCTTTTTCATTTCTGACATACAAAAATATCTTTTTGGTCAAATAAATAATTAAGGCTTTTATGATCACTAAAAATATCAAATTTGACCACATACAAATAATGCCTCTAAATTTTAAGTGCAAAAACTACTGCAATCAATTCTAGGTCATGGGTTGGATAATTTTTCTCATAAGGTCTCAATTGTCTTTACATTAAAACACATTATAATCCCTTTCTAGACGCATCACTATAAATTTCGAATTTCCCTAATAGATTAAGGATTGTTAAAATTGGTGCAGGTGTTAACTTACTTTTTATATTTTAAAAATAATCATCCCACTCTTGTATCCAAACAAAAGAATTTTCCTTTCTATTTAACCTGGTTAAATGTAATACTAATTGTGAAAATTCTTTAATAAACCTTCTACAATATCCTGCCTATCCTAGAAAACTCCTAATCCTAGTGATAGTCTTAGGTCTCTCCCAGTGAGTGCATTACAACCTCAACTTTACTAGGATCAACTAACACTCCTGCTTTTGATATAACATGCCCTACAAATTTAACTTCTTTCATCTAGAATTCATATTTTGAAAGTAGCACACAATTGCTTGTGTTTTAAAATTTGTGAACCTATCCTCATATGCTCCTTATGTCCCTTTTCCTTCCTGTAATATATTAAAATATCATCAATAAATACTACTACAAATTGATCCAGGTAAGGCCTAAAAATCCTATTTATATAATTCATAAATATAGCTGGGACATTTGTCAACCCAAAAAACATCACTGGATACTTATAGTGCTCGTACCTAGTCCTAAAGGCTGTCTTTGGAATATCCTCAGTCTTAATCCTGATTTGACGATATTCTGACCTTAAATCCATTTTAGAAAATATTGTGACCCCTCTGAACTGATCTAAAAGGTCATGTATCCTAGGCAAATGATATTTATTTTTTATGGTAACTTTGTTCAGTTGTCTATAATCTACACGCAATTTCATACTTTCATACCTTTTCTTGACAAAGAGCATTGGTGCTCCCTAGGGTGACACACTTGGTCTGATGATCTGCTTTGATAGAAGTTTCTCTATTTGTTTTTTTAGTTCAACAAGTTCTACGAATGACATCCTATAGGGTGCAATAGAAATTAGCCCTACTCCCGGTGTCAAATTAATGGAAAATTCAATTTCTCTGACTGGGGTTAAACTTGAAATATCGTCCGAAAAAACCTCTAAGTATTAAGAGATAATATGAATACTAGTTGCATCAGGTTTAGCCTTTGTGTTTAAAAGATTAAAGAGAACATACCCTTATGCTCTCTTTAACAAACTCTTCATAAGTTGGGAAGTTGACAAAAATAAATATTCATTTGAAAGTTCTGACTCTTTTGTGAAAGTTTATTTTATTATGACAATCAATAACCACACAATTGGCAGACAATCAATTCATGTCAAGAATCACATCTATATCAATTGTAGATAGACAAACTAAATCTACCTCAATCAATTTTCCTTCGAGTTGAAGATGATAGTTTCTACATACTTGAAATGTGGTTAGTTTTTCTCCGTTAAGAAGAAAGATTTTAAGATAAGAAGGTAAAATAGGAATTGATAAACTTTAACTTTAACTTCTGAGCAGTAAATAATGAGATGAAAGAATGGGTAGCTCCAGAATCAAAAAGTACAATTATAAGAGAAATAATTATAAAAACTATATTGGATGTCTTTATTTTTTAATATTTAATTTGAATTAATTTGACTTAAAAATCAGTTTCCAAGCTTGCAATATTATAAAAGTTATGATTTTAATTGAATAAAAAAATTAATTTTCTTGTTTGTCTCCCTACGTACTAAAATCATTTTCTTATTAAAATATCCACTCTTATTTAAAAATATATATTTCATTTTTTAATTTTAAATTCAAATTCTTTTAAATCAATTTTGCATAATTTTTTATATAATTTTAAATAACTGGTAATACATTAAAGACAAGTCAAATCGAAATTTAGTTTTATATTATTACTTAGAATAATATAAATTTTTCCTTCAGAAGTAATGGATATTGATATGTAAAATGGTTAAAATAAGGAGGAAATAATCAATTTCAATATTGGTCTAATAATTAATGAAGTATAACCTCTACTCTAAATAAATAAGATACTCCACACAAAACTCAACTCTAGTCAGTTTCTAATGACTTTTCATATCTATATAATTTTAATGAAAATTTGTAAAATGAAATCAATTCTTATATTAAGATATTCCAAATAAATTTATTTCTTTTATAAATTAAATTTATTATCAAATTTTATTGTTCTTACTTTGAAGAAGACATTTGGGAAATATGAAACCAAATTAACTTTTTATTTTCTAATAATATAGAAAAAAAATTCTTTAGAAAGACGATAACGTAAGCAAAATTAGAGAGAAAGTGAGAGAATAAAATAAAGGAAAAATATGTGTTATTTTAAGAAATAAATAGACTTAGTTTTACAAAAAAATAAAAATAAAAAATAAAAGTATGAATCTCATTTCTTTGTATCTATTTCTTTTTTAACATGATAAAACTCCTTTTAAGTCCCTAACAAAAAAAAACATAATTCCTATTTTTGTCCCTCACAAAAAAAACCCTATTAATCATTTTTTAGAAACTAATTTGAATCTTCCTTAAATTTTTGAGACCACATTTTCAATATAACCTAAGTTGGTATATTTTAAAGGAAAAATGTGTGTCATTTTAAAAGATATAAAATTGTGTCATTTTAAGAGAGAGAAATAGATAAATAAAGGAGAAGAGAGAGTTGACAAAAAATAAATAAATGTGTGAGTCCTATTTCTTTGTGAGAGTAAAATAATGTAAATTGTGTCATTTAAAAGGATAAACAATCTTTCCTATTTTAAAAGTACACACTTTTCCATAAAATAAAACATAACCCGGTATCTGTTTGATTTGATTATTGTTAGGGGTCCGTGTTTAGTTGCCTTGTGTCATTATTTGTAGCGGGAAAAAAACACACACACACGTGACCGCAACCTTGTACGGATCTTATCTTATGTTTAATTTTTTTGTCCTTAACCTTAATGAAAAGAACTAACATAGGCACATCATCATCATAATGTGTTTATTCTCAACAAAACAAAAAGATTAAGATACGGACATAGAGACACAGATTGAGTTGGAGAGAGAAACATCGGATCCAAATTGTTCCTTAACAACAACTACCATATCTATCGTCTTACCCTTTCTATGAACATGATACAACTGTGGATTCATTCATATATGACCCCCACCCACTTTGTCTTTTTTGATTGAAAGCTAAGTTTCCCTTTCTTTCTCTTTCCTTCAGATAGATAAAGTGTGCATGTGAAGACAAGGACGATACCCAGAAAGTGTTTCTTAAAGAGCCAGCAAAATTCCATGCCTCTGGTTCCTGAATATACACTCCCTTCAATGCCAATACCATCATGATTGCAATTGATTTCTATTTGGTGGGGTTTGTGGGATCTCAATATTTGAGCTTTGGATGCAATGTGGGTTGAATTAGGGCAGTTCTAGACAATGGCATTGTTCCGCAAGTTCTTTTATAAGAAGCCCCCTGAGGGGCTTCTAGAAATCGCTGAAAGGGTTTATGGTACGTTTTCTGTTGGCTCATTTTTGTAGAGATACATTGGTTCTTGTGGAAGTGAACAATATTGGCTTCTTCTGTTGAGTACAAATGTTTAATCTTTATGCATTTTGTGTTGGTGGGTTGTGGTATGCATGGCTTATTTTGCAGATTTAGAGTGAATAATGGGAATTGTATAAATTTTCTACATTTTCATTGTACTGTTTGCAGTCATTGTAGTCTGAATGCCAGTTGTTCAATAGGCTTTTGATATCTTGTTTAAGACTGAGCTGAAGGGATGTTTTCTCTTTTAGACATACGTATTTGTTGTGGGAGGGACGAAGGTAAAATTAATGGGAAGAATCTCCATAGAGTTGATATGAAACTCTTAAGCTGATTTTTTTTTTTCCATATATAGGTATAAATTTTCTTCTTCCTTTCAGTATTAATAAATCATGAAATATTTTCCATTGATGATTGTAGGGGACTAGTGACTGAAAAATGGCTTGATGACTTTATAATCTCTCAGAATTTGGGCCTTTTGATTTGTACACTTGCTACTCTGCTTACATGTGTGGCATGTCATAGTACTTGGTGCATTTCATTATCTTAAAGAGTCTTTACTTCGTATGTATGTGATAGTGATTATTTTACTGTTGTATGTGTAGTCTTTGATTACTGCTTTACCACGGATGTTATGGAGGAAAATGAATATAAAGTGTATATGGGAGGGATAATTGGGCAACTTCGTGATCATTTTCCCGATGCTTCATTTATGGTGTTCAACATGAGGGAGGGAGATAACCAAAGTGACATTTCAAACATTTTGTGTGACTATGATATGACTGTGATGGACTATCCTCGACAGTATGAAGGTTGCCCATTAATTACCATGGAGATGATTCACCATTTCTTGAGATCAGGTGAAAACTGGCTTCAACTTGGGCAACAGAATGTTGTTTTGATGCATTGCGAACGAGGTGGGTGGCCAGTTTTAGCATTTATGCTGGCTGCACTCTTGATTTATAGAAAGCTGTTTACTGGGGAGCAGAAAACACTAGACATGATATACAAGCAAGCTCCTCGGGAACTTTTGCAGTTGATGTCACCATTGAATCCACTACCTTCACAATTGAGGTATCTTCAGTATATATCAAGGAGAAATGTTGGTTCGGAATGGCCTCCTCTAGACAGGGCACTTACACTGGACTGCGTAATTATAAGACTCATTCCTAATATGGATGGAGAGGGTGGTTGCCGTCCTATATTTAGGATATATGGACAGGACCCGTTTATTCCTGCTGACCGGTCTCCCAAACTTCTCTTTTCAACTCCAAAAAGGAGCAAACTTGTTCGGCATTACAAGCAGGTGGTACTTGAGTCCTTTTACTTTAACATAATATGCTTTGTTACAGTTCAAGCTAGATCATGATTCAAGACAATGATTGTCTCCCTTTTTTTTTGTTTTTGTTACTAGTATTGGGATTTTTCTTCCATTGTTAGTTTCATTATCTCAATTCTCAACCATAAGCGATGCTGTGGAATTCCTTTAGTGAATTAATCTATACATTCATACAGACAGGAAGACAACATATAAATACATAAGGTAATTCAACTGAATATCATTTTTTTTCCTTTTCTTAATACAACACAATTTTTATGTAAAGTTACCATGCCAACTGAAGTCAATATTACCCAAAATTATTTAAATAAAATTAGAACTATATTTCTTCCTTTTAAGCAGGAAATTTTTTATTGTTTTATATTCCATGTAATTGGAGAGGGGGTGGGGTAGGGTTGCACGGTGGTGGCTTTGATGGGATCTGAGGAGGGATGGTTTGATCACAAAATGTACCATCTTTGCTCATGAACAGAATGGAAGAAAACATGTATAGCTTTAAAGGAGGATACCCTGCATGGACATATTATTGTCAATCTTAACTTGAACTAAGAGTATGTAAATTTTTTTGCAATGATGATTTGTTATGCCATTTCGTTGTATGGGTTAAACATGAAAATTCTCTCTGGAAGTTAGCAAATATTTGCATTAATTGATCATGTTCTTATGATTTGTATAAATACAATTGGTAAAAGTCAACATAAAATTACGTTAAATGCAACTACAAACTGGACTTTTTGTTTCTTCTTTGTACCACGTAGGATATGATTAGTTTGACACTGATAGAAACTCAGAAGCTAAAAGTAGCATCATTGTCTCTTCATTTTTCTCTATTTGGATCCTGCCTACACAGGATTCTTAAATAAGGATTTATTGTTTTCCCCATTTCCCTTAATCTATTTATTTTTTGTTTCATACTTGTTGCAGGCTGATTGTGAACTGGTTAAGATTGACATCCATTGTCATGTTCAAGGTGATGTTGTTCTTGAATGCATTAGTCTAGACAGTGATTTGGAACGTGAACAAATGATGTTTCGGGTGATGTTTAATACAGCATTCATAAGATCAAATATTTTGATGCTTAACCGTGATGAAATTGACATATTATGGAATGCTAAAGATCACTTCCCTAAAAATTTTAGAGTAGAGGTATTTATCACTCTCTCTCTCTCTCTCTTTCCTGTATTTTATAATTTATGATTAGTGATAAAATCAACTTAATGTTTACGGAGTATATGTTGTATTTCTGGTTGAAGGTCCTTTTCTCAGATATGGAAGCCTCGTCTTCTGTTATTTCAATTGATTTGCCTCGTCTTGAGGAGAAAGAAGGCCTACCAGTTGAAGCATTTGCTAAAGTTAAAGAAATTTTCAGCCATGTTGATTGGCTAGATTCAAAGACAGAGGTTGCAAATGTGCTCCAACAGATCACAGTATCAAATATCCTTCTGGAAAAATTGGACAGTGGGGTTTCTGCTGGAACAAGCAGCTTGCTAAAGGAGTCATTGTCTGGAAGATTGAAATATGATTCAAAGACACAAAATGATATGAAGAGTCCAACTTCTGCAGTTCAGGGGGGTGTTTCCTCATTCGAATCATTTGGGGATTCTTCTACAGAAAAGAAGCTAGAACCATTAGAATCAAAGGCATTGCCAGAAAATAACATCAAGACTCCTACACATTTAGGTCAGGGGAACCAACCAATTTCCTCAATTGGACTCTCAACAGATTCAGATTCTACTAAAAAGGAGACTGAATCATTAGAATCGAAACAGTCCGTGGAAGATGATACTAAGTTTCCTACGTCCATGGCTCAAGAGAAACAATCCATCCCCTTAATTGAACCATCCATGGATGCAAATTCAATGAAGACAAAGATTGGACCATTAGAATCCAAGGAAAAGGATACTGAATCATTAGAATCAAAGGCACTGTTGGAAAATAACACCATGGGTCCTGCATCCGTAGCTCAGGATAAACAAGCTGTTCTCTTAATTGAACCATCCAATGATGCAAGTTCAATGAAAAAGAAGATTGGACTGTTAGAATCTAAGGAAAAGGAAGTTGAATCATTAAATTCAGAGGCATTGCTGGAAAATGATAGAAGATTTAAATTTGAACCAAAGACACTACCAGAATTTGATGTAAAGAGTCCGACTTCTGCAGCTCAAGGGAAACTTTGTTTGTCCTTATTTGAATCATCCGGGGAGGCTCCTATGGAACAGAAGATTGAATCATTAGAATCAAAGGCACTTCCCCAAAAAAACATCGAGACTCTTGCTCCCATGCAGGAGAAACAACCTATTCCCTCATTTGGACTCTCAACAGATTCAAACTCTACTAAAATGCAGATTGAATCATTAGAGTCAAAGACATCGGTGGATGATACTAAGTTTCCTACATCTATGGTTCAGGAGAAACAATCTATTCCCTTACTTGAACCATCCACGTATGCAAATTCAATGAAAAAGAAGATTGGCCAATCAGAATCAACTACACTGTCAGAAAATGATATCAATAGTCTCACATCCACAGTTCAGAGGAAACAATATAGTCCCTTACTTGAGCCGTCCATTGATGCAAACTCAATTCGAAAGAAGATTGAACCTCAAGAATTGCAAGTTTCTCTTCAGCTTCCCACCCAATCTAAAATAATTTCTCCACGGGTACGTCAACCTATTCGATCTGCTTCAGCTTCTTATTATAACCCCTTGCAAGGTTCACCTGTAGCTGTCTCAAGATATCATAGTACACCATCAGCTCTTGGAATAACAACTGTGTTGCAGGATCATGCACCAATGGATATCAAAGAAGTCACTCATGAAGTTACAATAACCCCCAGTTCTTCTACTTTGCCTCCTTCAGAATCAAAGGTGCCAAAATCTGTAGAGCCTAGTTCTACAAGTGTTCCTCCAGCATCATCACCAGCATTGGTTCCATCTTCGCCATTAAAATCTTCAGTTAATGCTCATGTTTCCATGGAGAAGACTTTTGGACCCTTTGCTCCTGCTCTTGTTGCTCCTTCGCCTCCACTTCCACCTCCTCAACATGAGCCTATTTCAACATTGATGCAATCTATTGATACTAATACAATGCATGATAAAGGTCAGAAATCATTGGTTACTCCCCTTCCTTCACCCCTTCCTTCTGAGGCTATCGAGAGCTGTCTTTCAATGCCTGCCCCTCCAACTTCAGCTCTTTGTTCTCCATCCTCTGCCACGAATAGCTCATCTTTATCCCATCCACCACCTTCTTCCCTTCCTAGAACATCTCTCTCCACCATCAAAGATTCATTTAAAGGTCCTCCTCCCCCACCTCCACCTCCATCTTCAACTGGACATACTTCATCATATTCAATACCTCCTCCCCCTCCTCCGCTTCCATCTTCAACTGGACAGACTTCATCATCTTCAATTCCTCCTCCTCCTCCACCATCCGAATTTCCTTCTTCAGCTTTCCTCACTTCCTCTTCTCCGTTGAGTTTGAACAAGTCTGCTGCTATGCCTGGCCCTCCTCCTCCTCCTCCGCCTCCTAAGCATTCTGGCACCGCACCTGGTTCTACACCTACACCATTAGTGCCGCCACCACCCCCTCCTCCTGCTTCTGCAACCCAAAATTCTTTGTCTAAGAGCTCTGGAAATGTTCCACCTGTACCTCCACCTCCTTCCCCTTCTGCCAATGGGTTATCAAAACCTGGCACCACCTCACAGCAGTCTCATGTTGGTGCTGGAAATGGAAATGTGCCTCCAATTCCTGGACCACCTTCTGGTGTTCCATTTGGTGCAAAGGGACGTGGTCTGTTGCGAACTAATCCAAAAAGTCAGTCTCAGACTAAAAGGAGCAATTTGAAACCTTACCATTGGTTGAAATTAACAAGGGCCATGCATGGAAGTTTATGGGCTGAGACACAAAAACTTGATGAAGCTTCTAGGTATGAGTTGTTTTTTAAGATTTTTCTGACTTTAGTTATAAAATCTGAGCTTATATGAATTTCTGGATATTATTTATTCTTTATTTATTTATTTTTTATCTTGTTGGTGACAGGGCTCCAGAGTTTGACATGTCAGAACTTGAGAGTCTTTTCTCTGCAGCTACTCCAAATTCTGATCATGGAATAGGAGGAAAATCAAACCGCCGCGCCTCAGGGCAAAAAGCTGACAAAGTTCAATTGGTATGCCTTTTCTTTTCATTAACACCTATCCAGTCTAATTACTTCAAATATTAAATACTCTCCCCTGTTGATAATGAAAAGATAGGTAGCTTTTCATCTTCAATTTTCGTCCCAAAAGTCCAAAAGAAGTCCTTTATCCAATCTTATCTCCAAATATTAGGTTTTACATTTAAAAACATAATCGTTAGAAATTGACATTTTAAGTAACTGCATTCCATTTTACTCCACTTTCTCCACTGCTTTTCTCTTGACTGTTCACATGTAGGATGTATGTGTAATATTTTTCATTATAGAATCTGGAGCATAATTTTATTTTCTTTTGCTAGTAAATTGGTTTGGATCCACCTGTGTAGATTTTGTTTAGTCTCCTGGTTCTTGTTCTCATGCCTATCACTAAGGCCTATGTTCTTCTGTTAAATTCTTGTCAGGACTTCTTACAGAATTTGAGCTCTTGATGAATGATTCATGTTATCTTGCAGATTGAGCTCAGGCGGGCGTATAACTGTGAGATTATGCTTACAAAAGTCAAAATCCCTTTGCCTGATTTAATGGTTAGATATTCCTTATGGTTTTTATTCACAAGTAAATGCTATGAGAATTTTGATTTGAAGTTATGTCCCAGAGAAAGTTCACTCTCGGTCAGTGTTAAACCTGATCTGATATATTTGTTGTCACAACTGGGTACTTCTTGACTTAAAAAGTAGTCTCACTCTTATGGTGGACTGAGATTTGGTCTTACTTGATGTTTAATTGAAAGTTGAAAGTTTAGCTGAAGCCTGGTTATCAACTTATGAGTATATCTATTACAGCATTACAACAGTAAGTCCATGTGCTGCTGCTATGACTGCAGAAGCTAAATATTTGGCTTGATTTTATATTTTGCCATGAAATAGATGAATTCAATATTTATTTTTTTAGAATACTTTGCTCTTCTGTTTAGATGGGCCTGTGTTAATTCTTGATGCAATTTTATTTATTTATTTTTTAAAGGAAGACTATTGACAGAAAAGATAGATACTGACAGAAAAGATCATGAATTGTCCTTTAACAACAGAATGATAAAGAGAAAGTAAACTAAGAAAGTACATAATCTCAAAAGAGCTCTTCATTCCCTATGCATATCCAGTAAAGAGTTCTTCTTAATAAAACCATGAGTGAAAATCATGAAGGGGCAAGAAAAACTGTCCTATCCGAAGGAAGATTCACATTTCTTTTTCTTTTTTATTATTCTTTTCAAAATTAACTAACATACATGATCTTATGTTTTTCCATTATTTTTTCATGGTCAAAAGGTCTAATATAATTTCTTAGCCTAACACAAACCAAACATCACAAGATTAGTTAAGGTTGGGATTATGATGCAGTCAGTTTGGGTTGAGATGCTCCTAGTGTTAACCTGATTTGTTCAATTTGTTATCTTATTACCTTTTAAACCAAACTCAATTTACACTTTGAACACTCCTAATTTAGAAAATCAAAATCTAATTCCCATGCATTCTGGCTGATAGGTATTCAATACTGTAAACCTGGGCAGATACCAGTTTATTTTAGATTAAACCTGAACGGCTGGTGACTATATTAATAACCAATTGAAAATGAAAAAAATGGATTAAATTCTTTCAACTTTATTTCATGAATGCTGTTTTCATTTATTATGACATTTTGAAGGGGTTGCATCAGCTATAATTTTGCTTTAATTATAAATTGCACACATTGTTATTTGTTTTATCATTATATTCAACTTTGAGTTCAATAATTGGTCTTATTTATTAATTCTTAAAACTAGCAATGAGCTTTGAGTTATGACCATTTTCTTCTGTGAAACATTTAGTAAAACTACATATCACATTTCCTCTGTTTTAAAAGTTAATTTAATAGTTGTCATTTGAATGCTCCTGGCTATGCTTATTTGTAATCCTATAATTTCCTGCCTGACTATTGAATGCTCTTGTACTGTTTTAAATTTTTACTGAATGTCCCAAATGTTAAACCATTCAATTAGTCAGAAAGGCATGTCTCCAATCACAGAGAAACTCACCAATTTATATTTGTTTTCTCACTTGCTTTACACAATTGTCTTTCAGAGCTCTGTGCTTGCATTGGACGATTCAGTATTATTCGTTGATCAAGTTGAGAACCTCATAAAGTTCTGTCCAACCAAAGAAGAGATAGAACTTCTCAAGGTATCAAACCTTTTTTTTTTCCCTTCAAACATAAACTTCATGTCATAGGAGGATCATCAATAACTTTGCAGCAATCTATGTTTATTTGAGCCGTAGCCATACTTTATGTGCAGAACTATAATGGAGATAAGGAAAATTTGGGAAGGTGTGAACAGGTGAGTGGATTTTTACTGTTTGTTCCTCTCTCTCCCTCTTAAACTCTTCCGCTTTTCCTCTTTAAGAAACTTATGGTAGAATGACTAGTCTAGCATTACTGGTACAACAAAAGATTAATCTGTAGTGAATCATATAACTAGACTAGTCAATCTTTTTCAATGTAAACCTGTGAATACATTTGTGGCCAGTGATTAGTTTTAAGATATCATTTAAATTGGAGATGAAGCTCTCTAATATGGTTAACTTGCTATGTTCAGTTTTTGGAAATCACCTTCAAGATTGCCCTGTTATTCTTCTTTTTCCCCATCACATTCTTATTTGCTTTTGCATTTTTTTATAGTTCTTCTTAGAATTAATGAAAGTGCCAAGAGTGGAAAGCAAGCTAAGAGTTTTCTCTTTTAAGATGCAATTCTGCTCCCAGGTCAGAACACAACTATGCAATGCTTTTGGTTATTAATTAATTCTGTTTTCTAGCCATTAGAAATTTAACTGCTCTGGTGCACCTTGCTATATAATATTCATGTAGGTTTCAGAGCTTAGAAGGGACTTGAATATTGTAAATTCTGCATCCGAAGAGGTAAGTCATACATACTTTTCTTTTAAATACTCTATTTCCTAAGTCAATATCCTTTTCTCTTCAGCTTCTATTGTTATGTATGTCAGATAAGGAATTCAGTCAAGTTGAAAAGAATCATGCAGACCATTCTTTCTCTGGGTAATGCTTTGAACCATGGAACTGCAAGAGGTAATTAAAGCTTAACATTCACCATTTCACCAGCTCAAAGCACGTGATTATGGACACAACCTAGAAAAATTTAAAAGTCAAGCATGGACTTTTCAGTTACTCTATATCGTATAATTTATGTGCATTCTGTATAGAGTGTTTGGCATATATGCCTGTTCTTTGAATGAATAAAATTTTATTGGGAAACAGCACCATTGTAGTCTTGATTAATTTCATGTTAATTATTATGATTACTGTAGGTTCTGCTATTGGGTTCCGATTGGATAGTCTTCTTAAACTCACAGATACACGAGCCAGAAACACCAAGATGACTCTCATGCACTATCTTTGTAAGGTAAACACCCATTATCCTTAAATTAAAATATGAATTATTTCTGCACAAGAAGTTTAGTTTCTCCTGTGTAGAAGTACAAACCATAAGTAAGAATTATCTTGATTTCTTTAAAGAACCAATTCAACCTAAAAGCTCAATTCAACCCAAAAGCTTAAGCTTTTGGGTTGAATTGGTTCTTTACATGGTATCAGAGCCTCGGTGTTCCGGGTTCGATCCTCACTGCCCCTCGTTTAATTAATCATTAATTAAGTCTTGTGGTAAACGAGATCTGAATCAGATGAGAGAAAAGGAAGAGAGAGAGAGAGAAGAAAGAGATCGTGTATTTCATGTTTGTGATCAATAATGAACAGTACATGAAGATTTCCTATATAAAGGGACGATACAGCCACGTCACCTAATTCTATTTGTAACAGCACAGCTGTTACTATTACAATGAAGCTAAGCCACTAAGCCAATTGGCTATTTACAGAAATATCCCTATCCTTATACACTAATATGCCCCCTCAAACTCAGGGTGGCTGGAAATGAGAGTGAGAATCCACCACCATGAGTTTGTCTCGTAAAACAGCAAAGCGTGAAGCTGAGAGAGCTTTGGTGAGAGTGTCAACAACTTGATCCATTGCAGGAATATGACAGACCCGTATATCCTTTGCAATAACATGCTCCCTAACAAAAAAGATATCTAACTCCATGTGTTTAGTGCGGGCATGCAGAACAGGATTGTGAGATAAGGAGACAGTGCTCAAGTTATCACAGAGAATGAGAGGAGGACTATGCTGAACCTGAAGCTCAACAAGAAGAGACTTGAGCCAAAGAACTTCAGCTGTAGCTAAAGCAAGGCTCCTATATTCTGCTTCAGTGCTGGAACGAGCCACCAAAGTCTGTTTCTTAGACCACCATGATACTAGATTGGAACCAAAGAAGACACAGGCTCCTGACGTGGATCTTCGATCATCCGGATCACTAGCCCAATCTGCATCACAAAAGGCTGTGATGGAAAATAGATGACTAGGATTGCAGGGTTGCATCAACAGTCCATGAGACAAAGTGCCTTTAAGATAGCGTAGGATCCTTTTCACAGCAGCCCAATGAGCTTCAAGTGGCTGAGCCATGAATTGGCAGGCTTTATTGACTGCATAACTAATCTCAGGTCTGGTGAGAGTAGCATACTGTAAAGCTCCCACAATGGAACGGTAGAGGAAGGGATCTGAAAAATAATCAGACCCAAACTTAGAGAGCTTGCAACCAGACTGGAGTGGAGTAGAGATGCCTTTTGCATCAGCCATATTGGCTTTGAGAAGCAAATCCCTGATGTATTTTGCCTGAGAGAATTAAAGCACCAGATGAAGTCTTCTGAACTTCTATGCCAAGAAAGAAATCCAGCTCACCAAGGTCTTTAAGAGCAAAGGAGGTGTTCAGCTGCTGAATCAAAGACTGAATGAAACTTGAATTACTCCCAGTGATGATTATATCATCAACATAGACTAGAAGAAAAACCACTAGGGAAGACTTCCTGTAGATGAATAAGGAAGGATCACATTTGCTAGCCAAGAAACCAAGGTGCAGTAAGGCAGATTTGAGCTTGTCAAACCAGGCCCTTGGTACTTGCTTCAAGCCATAAAGGGCTTTATGTAACCTGCACACAAGAGATTTATTAGGTGACTCAAATCCAGGAGGCTGTTGCATGTAAACTTCCTCCTCAAGAATGCCATTGAGAAAGGCATTATTAACATCTAGTTGCCTGAGTGTCCAGCCAAAAGAAATTGCAACAGTCAGAATAGTTCTAATAGTGATAGGCTTTACAACTGGAGAGAATGTCTCAGAATAATCAAATCCTGCTTGTTGATGAAAGCCTTTGGCAACTAGCCTAGCCTTGTACCTATTAACTGAGCCATCAACATTCTCCTTAACTCGAAAGACCCACTTGCAGCCAATAGCTTTCCTATTAGGAGGAAGAGAGACTAGTGACCAAGTGTTGTTTCTTTGAAGAGCATCAAATTCGGACTGCATGGCTGAAAGCCAATTAGGATTGGCCAAGGCCTGTTTGATTGTGCTAGGCTCAACAGAGGTTAAAAGTATTTGAGGTCTACATGTAGTTTTAGACCGAGTGGGAATTGAACGATCAGGTGAGGAAGGAAGGGGACCAGATGGAACATACTCAGAACCAGAACTCAGATGAGAGGAAGAGGAAGTAGAAGGACTAAAAGAAATAGCAATAGGAGAACCTGGACTGGATGTGTTGCTACTGTTGGAAGTAGATGAACTGTGATTGGAGCAGGTAGACGTAAGTGCTGGGAGAGGAGAGTTGTGCACTGGTGTTGAGGATGGTGTAGAGGAGATACTATTAGGATCCCTTGAGATGGTGAAAGCTGGACTGTCACTGTTTGAAGGTTGATGTGAGTCAGAATGAGTTGAAGTAAAGGTTGTGGGTGCCACCAGTGGAATTAAATTGGAGACAGAAGAGGTAGGACCAGGGGTAGGGCTAGTGTTTGTGTTTAAGGGAAACCAGGTAGGATAGGGAAATTTAGTTTCATTAAACAGCACATCTTTTGAGATAAAAAGTCTCCCAGAAGAATTAAGGCATTTGTAGCCTTTGTGACTTGGTGAGTAGCCAAGAAAAATGCATTCACTGCTGCGAAATTCAAGTTTATGACTGTTGTAGGGTCTTAGGAAAGGGAAGCAGGCACAACCAAAAACTTTGAAGGACTTGTAATCAGGGACAGTGTTGTGTAATTTTACAAAGGGAATTTCAAAATGTAAGGCAGCAGTGGGTAGGGAATTAATAAGGTAAACGGCAGAAATAAAGGCATGATCCCAAAATTTGATGGGTAAGGATGCATGAGCAAGAAGAGTAAGTCCAGTCTTAACTATATGTCTATGTTTTCTTTCCACCACACCATTTTGATGATGAGTGTGAGGGCAAGCTACCCGATGCATTATACCAAGTTGCTTAAGGAGTTGATTGAAGGAACGAAACTCTCCCCCCCAGTCAGTTTGTAGAGCTTTTATAGTGGACTGAAAATGGTTTGACACAAGTTTTTGGAACTGAGTAAAGATGGTTAAAGCTTCTGATTTCTGTTTTAGGGGATAAATCCAAGTGTAACGAGAATGAGCATCTACAAACGATATATAGTATGTAAATCCCATTGTGGATTTGACAGGAGCTGGTCCCCAAAGATCACTGAAAACCAAATCAAAGGGTTTAGCATACACTTTGGTTGAGGGAGCTGAATGCAAACGATGGATTTTACCTAAACAGCAGGCAGAACAGAAATCATCATTTGTTTTATTAACAGTAGGAATATTACAAAGTTTGAGAACTAAGTTGAGGGCCTCAGTGTGAGGATGCCCCAATCGACAGTGCCAAAGAGAGTACATATAATTGGAACCTATAGCTTTTACAGAGCTAGAAGCTGTATTAGCTGTGGAATGTGTGATTACACTAGTAGGAACAGTATGAGAAAAATCTAGGCTACTGTTTGGTGATGAATTACAAGAAGTAATTGTTGAAACAGAAACAGGAGAATGATGATTCGGTTGCTGACTTGAGTTGGGAGAGAGATGAACTCCTTGAAAGCTATATAGTCCATCTGGTCCTAAAACACCTTCCAACAGGACTTCATGGGATGCCTGAGATTTTACACAACAAGTAAGAGGGTGAAATTCAAAATAAACACCATTATCTCGAGCAAACTGACTCACACTAATCAGATTCTTAGTTATTGAAGGAACAAGAAGAAGATTGTTAAGGTGTAAAGAGGTGTGTGGTTTAAGTGGGGAAGAGAAAGAAGAACAGCCCATAGCATTCACTTTCAAACCTTGGCCATTCCCTATGTAAACCTGATCAGCACCAGAGAGTTGTGTGCTTTGCAACAGGTTTTGAGGATTGGCAGTCACATGATGAGATGCACCAGAATCTGGATACCCCTCAATTGCTTGAACATGTGAAGGAGTGGGAAGAAGACCTTGTCCTTGAGTTGGATTGGCAGTTAGCAATGCTTGAGGTTGAAGAGTGGTTACCAAGGCTTGAGGCTGATGAGGAGCAGTAGGTCTAACATACTGATATGGCCTCTGAAACGAAGGTTGTCCTGGTGGAAAGTACTGAGGAGCTGCTGGTGGAGGGAGTTCAGGTACAAAGTTCTCATCAAATCTGTACCAGCAGCTCTGAACGCCATGACCAAACTTATAACAAAGCTGGCATTGAACATTGCTACGTCCACGACCTCTAGCTCCTCTGTTGCTTCGAGTATAGGATCTGCCTCTGCCTCTTCCATAATTTGGACCATATGACCTCTGATTATATGCAGTTGGATCCAAATTTGGTTGCACAACATTTAGAGGAGACCTTACAGGTGCTAATTCAGATCTGTTTGCTTCTTTTGAATCAGGAGAGACCTTGTGCACAACATTCACAGTCATTGAATCAGAAAGAAGAGCTTCATTTTGTCGTGCAAGCATCATTTCATGAGACATCAGTTCAACTCGAAGATCATTGAGTGAATAAGGATTCTCACGTGCTCTGACTGATGTGACATAGGCATTGAACTCAGCAGGAAGACCAGCAAGTATCAGTTCAGTTTGTTCATCAACTGGAATTGCACTTTTAATTGCTTTTAGTTCATCACACAGAGACTTAATACATTTGAGGTACTCAGCAACAGATCTTCCACCTTTCTTGATGGTGCGAAGCTCAGATCTGAGCTGGTGAGCTCTTGACTTCATCATTCCTTCAAAAAACTTATGGATCTGATCCCAAGCTTCATATGCATGGCTAACTCCAAGGATTTCATTCAGAAATTCTTCTGAAATAGTGGAAAGAATCCATGAGAGAAGCATCTGATCTTGACGAAGCCACTCAGTATACAGATGATTGATGACTCCGTCAACACGATCTTGCTCCGAATCAAACTGAAGCGGTACTTTAGGGTTAACAAGAAAATGTTGAAGCTGATGAGAGGTGATTACAGGTTCCACAACCTGATTCCAGAGAAGAAAATTGCTCTCTGTTAGTTTAACAGAGATTTGGTGGCTGAATAGCGAGGGAGAAGACGAGCGATTCTCAGTCGAAGAGTTTCCGGTTGTGTTTCCAGTCATCGAAGGAGAAGGAGACGATGACGGTGACGAAGACTTCGTAGCGGAAGACATAGTGAGGTGCGATCTGTATCAGGCCCTCAAAGAGAGCTCTGATACCATAAACGAGATCTGAATCAGATGAGAGAAAAGGAAGAGAGAGAGAGAGAAGAAAGAGATCGTGTATTTCATGTTTGTGATCAATAATGAACTGTACATGAAGATTTCCTATATAAAGGGACGATACAGCCACGTCACCTAATTCTATTTGTAACAGCACAGCTGTTACTATTACAATGAAGCTAAGCCACTAAGCCAATTGGCTATTTACAGAAATATCCCTATCCTTATACACTAATATGTGGAGTTTCTTAGCACTGATAGGTGGGTCTGTGCATTATCCATTCTTCAAGCCCAGTGGACTTTTTTTTGAGGGGGCGTGTTAGAGAAATATAAAACCATTGATGTGTATAAGTTGATTCGGGAAATGCAAATGTAATAAGGTTGATGGAATAATTTATAGTATAACTTCCTTGGCATGTTGCTTATCTGTCTCTCTGTGATAAATGTTTACAAACGTTATATTGAATTTTTTTGTTTTCAGCTGATTAAATTGTGAAGTTATAGAAGGGATGTGACCCTCCCTTTCCCCCTTGCATTAAAATAAGAATATGAGAAAATGGGACTAAAGACGTTGGCAATGAATATTGTTAGAGAAGTATAAAAACCATTAATGTAACCTCACCCAACAGTTTAAGCTTTTGGGTTGAATTGGTTCTTTACATGGTATTAGAGCTTTGGTGTCCTGAGTTCAATCCTCACCGCCTCCCATTTTTTTGTAGAATTTTTTAGCACAGGTAGGCTGAGCTTAATGCATCATCCACCTTTCAAACCCAATAGGCTCTCTTGTGAGGGGACGTATTAGAGAAGTATAAAAACCATTAATGTAACCTCACCCAATAGCTTAAATTTTTGGGTTGAATTGATTCCTTACAAATATAAAATATGAGAAGATCTCCCTTGAACATGAAACTTCCATCATGAACTGTACACTAAACTATGAGAGAGCACAATTACATTTCAAACAGAGCTCATGAGAAAGAAAATCCCAAGAAGCAAGAAAGAAAGACACCATTTGTTTGTAAGGAATAATTGAGCGTTTGCACTCATAATATTTGGATAGCTTCTTGTTGATTCTCATATTGCTTGTTCTGCAATTACCTAAGGTAATTTTAAGATTATGTATGTTGCTTGAGCTTTTCTCTTCAAAGAAGAAGCAAAGCAAAATGATTCTGACTATAACAAGATCAAGCGTATTCAAGGGTGGATGGAAACAAATAGGAAGAAAAGAACTTGTTTCAGTGGAAAATCCTGATTTATATTGAGAAAGATATCATTTTCTTTTGAAGATAAACAGCTTCTCCAGTATCCATCCCTCTGTGGCTTGCTGAGAATAATTTATATTTCTCCCTTTGGGGATTCGGCTCAGGCTCGAGATAGTGTGAGAAAGAGATTTCTCACTTTCTCTACAAGAAAATTGAATAACTGCTAAATGCTCTTCTCCCCTCCCACACCCTCCTCCCTCTTTTCCTCCTTGGATTTTAGATTTACTGAAAAAATATGGAAAAGGACTGAAATCTGGATCTTTGGAAGCCTTCCCTTGTGGATAGGGTAGGGCACTCTATGAATTTAGTTTAACTTATTTGCAATGCTGTTAAGATATATAAAGACCATTAATATAGCCTCTCCCAACAACTTCCTAGGCATTGTCCACTCTTCAAGCTCAGTGGGCTCTCGTGTGAGGGGCGTGTTGAGATATATAAAATCATTAATGTAACCAGCTTAAGCTGTTGGGTGAAGTTACATTAATGATTTTATATATCTCAACAAATGCATATTAACATTTCATATTGCTTTGCTTGTTAAGCATTAGATTTAACTAGATCCACAAGAAAATGCAACACTATTTCATAGTTGTTTTGGGAGATTCAACTGTAAATGTTTGTTCTGTCTACAAAACTTCTCTCATTGTGCTTATGGGACCATGGAAGTCCATCTGTGAACTGACTACTCCAAAACCATTTAAATGTAAATTTTTGGGCATAGTGCCTTACCATGAAATACGTCAGACAGTAATTGTTTTGATTATTGACAAGTTGTAGGTGCTTGCTGAAAAGCTTCCAGAACTTTTAGATTTCCCCAAAGACCTAGTGAGTTTGGAGGCTTCAACCAAGGTATCTTTGTTTATTCTACTGTCATGTAGGTGGTTTCAGTTCTTTCGGAGTTGGATTTTGGTGTATGCTGAGTTATAAGCAAGTATTCCATACAGATACAATTGAAATATTTGGCGGAGGAAATGCAAGCTATTAGTAAAGGACTGGAGAAAGTAGTTCAGGAATTGACTGCATCAGAGAATGATGGGCCTGTGTCAGAAAGCTTCTGTAAGGTACAATATATAGCAGGTCATCTAAATGCTTCAATCAGATTGAACTGATCCGAACTTCTGAATTCTGATGAAATTTGGATCAGTACCTTATTATAGAAGCTTGGCTTACAGGCTACGCAAGCCGCAAGCATCAATGTCAATCTTTCCATGCTGAATGCTAACATGCTGTTAGCAAAGGGTGCATTGGAAAGCACATCCTTTTTTGAACGAGCATATGACAATACAGATATTTAAATTTATGTTGGCTTGAATATTACGACAATGGAACTCCGAGCTAGAGTCACAACAGACTAATGCATATCTGGGTCTCTTATGCGGCCTCATATATAGAATTAACAGTGATATGAAGTATTCCAGAGGCATAGTTACCCTTCTGTTAGGGTTATCTGCAACTTATATGAATTATAGATTTCTTTGCCTATACATTTTAATGGTGACCAAATGTTTAGCTTTACATTAAATGATTTTTTTTTTTTTTTTACTTGTTAATGTTCAGATTCTGAAGGAATTTCTTAGTAAAGCTGAAGCTGAAGTAAGGTCTTTGGCTCAACTTTATGCCAATGTGGTATGAGATTAGTTAATTCCTTTTGAGGATAGTTTGTTTCTTAAATGGTGAATTCCAGATATGACGAGGTATGTGTCTGAAATTCTGAATCTGGATGTACCAGGGTAGAAATGCAGATGCTTTGGCTCAATATTTTGGAGAAGATCCTGCACGTTGCCCATTTGAACAAGGTGACTTGTTGCTATTTTTAATCAGTCTCCATTATCTTTTTTTTGTCCCACATTAGTGTTCTGGTTCAAAAACTATTACTTTTGGAATTGGTTTTGGATCTCAATGGAGTTCAATGTGATTGTTATCTTTAGGGACACCAATTTTAGGGTCATCACTACCTCTATATTTTATTTAATTGTAAAGAAATGTTAGCAAAAAACTTATTTAATCTCATTTTCAAAATCTTATAATAGTTTAAGCCGTAATACTATTGTATTGTATCCCCATATCTCACAATAACCACTATGAGAAATCAAAGAGGATTTTTTCCCTTAAGAGATTAATTACCCCTCAAGTGAAAGCCTTCCTAAGATTTCTGGAAGCTATTTTCATCATTATAAAAATGCTTGAGACAATGTAATTATGATGTAAAGAAAGCCATTGTTTTACTTTAAACTAACCATAGCAATCTTTGCGGGGAATTTTCTTTTTTCTTCTATTTTTTATCTGTAGTTGTATCTACTCTACTCAACTTTGTGAGGATGTTCGTCCGAGCACATGAAGAAAATTGCAAGCAGCTTGAATTAGAAAAAAAGAAAGCAGAGAAGGAAGCTGAAAATGAGAAGTTGAAGCTAGCTGCTAAAAAGAAATCTGAACCAATGATACGGACCACCATCAAGAGTGGTAATATTAAATGATCAGATTTTTTTTTAAGGCCTCAAGCTGCTAAAAAGATGTTTCACAGTGATAAAGTTGCCATCTGGTCTGATGAAAAGAAACACTTTCCATGTGCAAAATCATTATATTGTGGAGGATGACCCCCAAGAACTGAAGTTATCTAATGCAAGAAATGTAATGCTGGTGACATATAGTTGAGGATTATATTCATTTGAAGGAGTAAGCCTTCTAAAATCTCGTTCATTTGAGATTTATACGCAGCATAGTCGTGAGTTATTAGTTAACATTCATTTCATTCTCAACTTGTTTTATGTCCAGCAGAAAAGCAGTTTTATGGTGTTCAGTTCGGTGAGGCACGGTGAACTATGTTGGGATACAAAGTATTATATGATTTAGTTTTACTCTGCCAGTCCTAAATTTGTTGTACTCAGCAATAGCAATGTAAATGCTGATCCAGTGATACTTATTTTCTACACAAGATAGAGTAGTATTTCAGTTTTCTTTCTTTTTTTAACTTCAGAGAACATAGAGGCATCTATACTTGTTTCCAGTTAACGCTCTTATGCTACATGCACTGATGAAGACAAATGCTTTGTAAATATTAAGGTATTGTTTAGGATACAAGTTATTCATATTTTACTAAGTCATCCATTGTGCCATCATGTTTATTTTCCCTTCATTCTTTTCGTGTCATATCATCAAATGATCAAACCAAATAAAGTAAAGAAACTAAGGAAAACTGCAAACTTCCACATATATATATATATCTTCTAAATCCTACATTCTCCATGGAGTGAAAACTTAGGAGAATTTTCTCACTTGTCAGTGCTATAGCCTACCATTCACTGAACTAAAATTCATCTTTATTTGACAATATGGGTTCAATAGTGCTCGAACCGAAATAATCCGATGGTTGATGAATTAGTGGATATATCTAAAAAAATTCATCTTCGTTCGCCAGATTGAACAATTTTTCAAGTGCTTAAAATAAATACCTTTACACTTTCATATTGGCTTTGGGGTTGTGGGGTTGGGAGCAAAAAGCGTTCACATCATTCTTCTGGAACATCCATGTTGAGGTTTATACCTTGTTGCTTACGCTGACTAGTGATGGTGCGGGCAACTGCTTCAGCTAATGCTACTGTGAAGTCAGGATCTTTAATTAGAGAACTTACATATTCTTCAATTTTGATGTTGCTGCCATGGTCATGTTGTTGCATGACATCCTCACAAAGTCTCATATCTGTTTGAGCCCAACCAGAAGGAGCAAAGTCAATGTTCATGGCATCTTTGCCGTTTGGTATGATTGTCAGAGGTGAATTATTAGTCATTGAAGTGCCTGTGAGTGTGGATGAAGATGGTCTTAATGACTTATGAATGATACCATGGTTGTGCTCTCCATCATAAGTTGCAACAAGGATTGACCTATCATGTATGCATCTTTGCACCTAAAATGAGTAATTGCAGCAAGGTTATTAAGAGTCTCTTAGACCACTATTTTGTCTTCGAATCATTCATCAACATACAAAATAAACATTAAAAACCATATAACAAGGCAAAACAATGACAACCTTGCAAGCTTTCTTGAAATCATGCACTTGAAATACATTAATTAATTATCATGCATAAAATAAAATGATTTTACAGTATTGTGAAAACCAGACCGGATAATGGGAATCGAAGGCAGATCATGAGATTTGAGCATGCAACCCCCTATAAGACCATCCTCATTTATTGTTTATGATGCTTCTAATTTTATATTTATTATATATTTTAATATAAATTCAATTCAACCGATTTAACTGTAATTCACCGGTTGAAACAATGATTCATTGACCCAATATCCTGACCGAGTCGATGATCGGTCCAAGTTTAATAAAAACTTAACGATTCACTGCAAAAGCAAAACCTTTGCTATTTCTTGGTCTGTTCCAAAATTGTGTAATCTTATGTCAATTTGTTGAGACAGAACTATATGTTTGACAAACAATCAAATAACCCAATATTATGTATGTCCTAGCAGTATATATAGGTCTTGTTAACTTGTATACTCATTTATCACTCTTTTAAATCATCTTAAGTACTTAAAATCATCTTCATTGTTTAAAGAAAAGAGTATTAAGTGAATTTAGTACATGTTTATATACTTTATACCTTTTTTTTGGCTGGGCAACTGGGAGCCATGGAGCACCTGAAGTAAGCTCGAGGTGAAGCATTGTCTTTAGTAACCTTCTGTCCATACTTTCTCCACTGATAACCATCTTTTATTATCTACGTTATCAAAGGAAAATTTGTATATAAACTTACGAACTTGGTTATAGAATTTGAGCATTAATTAAAATAATTTAATACACTACAAAGTAGTGATGATGGGGCATACCATACTATCATCATTGGGGTCGGTTCTGACAAAGATTTCTAATGGTTTTTTTGCTGTGGTAAACTCTAGTCTTGCTTTCTTGTTTGTATAAAGTTTAGATGCTGACCCAATTTGATTTGAACTGATGCCAATCTGTTCTACCTTGTTGATCTCTTGAAGATGGGACCAAAGCTTTGTACATTTGCTGCTCAGAAGTTCAAGCATCAGTCTTAGAGTATTATTATGCTCTCTCACAAGTTGTAACTCCGCTTCAAGTGTTTCCACCTAATTAAATTAAGATTATTATGAGCTTTGCTGCATGTTTTCATCCTTAGTAAAATATATGTTCATGAGAAATTTCATATTTAGGGCTTCTCTACTTTGCGAAAGTAGAAACGAGGATAAATTGTACGCAGTCTTATCTTTTCATTTTTGTAAAGAAATCGTAGACTAGGATCGATAACTTTCCGGTCACAAAGGAGCAACCTTACATCTAACCCAGAAAGCAAACGAGAAGGGAAAAAAAAATGTTGTTCTGAATGTATATGCTATATATATGTACACATATACACATGTTTGGAGTATACAAAAACATGAATCAGAAGCAAAGAAAAGAGGCGTGCAGTTAGAGTTACCTTTTCATCCATTATGATAGCTAGGTTGAAGTTGGACGACCTATTCAATCACAGTACGAAAAGAATTTATCTTACTATATTACATAATTGAAATTAAGGATGAAGGACAATAACAAATAATGGAGGAGCCCTTATTTATATAAAAATTAGATCATAGAATAGAATATAATGGGGTTGTTGAAGGGTGAGTAAGATGAAAGAAAATCAATTCATCAATATTATGACAAGGCTGGCTCTTGCTTAATTTCTTCAATAATTCTTAGTTCTGAGCAAATTGTTCAATTCAACTCCATGTGTTAGAAAAATCCATTTATGGGATATATATAAAGAATAATCGCATTGAACTAAGCCAATATTTTCAATATGACGTAAATGCAATTATGTCATCCACGATGACATAAGCTATCCCTTTCGGCAGTTAGGAAAAAAAAAGTTTTCTTTTTCTTTATAATAATGTCTCCCACGTGTTTCTGGGTACAAAGATAATTAATAGTAGACTCCAACAAGTCTTTGATTAGTCATCATTAGATAGGGAATTCTATATATCTATATATAAACAAATCATTTTATTAATCTCATGTTAAAGGAGATAAATTATCTTATAGGACTTTATCACCTGAAAAAGTAAAAAAAAAAATAAAAAAAAATGACACAGTTATCGAAGGATGTGCATGAGAGAAAACTTATTTCATGTAGCATGAGAATAAATTTTCCCACAAACAAACATGAATAACAATGCATCTCATTTAAACAATTATTTCCATCAAATTTCATTTTTTTTTTCTTTTTGCAACTAGCAAACATTAAAAATAAAAATAAAACGAAAAAAATATGTATATTCCAAGATGTATACTCTACAGTCTATGTTTTACCAAACGCAGTAAAAGTTCATGGTTTTCCAAATGCACTTAAGATCTCCAGTTCAACTGTATTTAACGTGTGATACGTGAGAAGAGTTGAATTTGACGGCTCAAGATTTGGTGACATGTTCAAAGAACTGGCTTAAATTGTGAAGAAAATCCAATTAAGAGCAATATAAGGATCAAGTGTCACGAAGTGCATGCATTTTACCCTCAGAAAGAGATCCCAATGCTTGGACACAAACTAGAAGTTGCCACCTCTTTCTTGAAACTCTCTTTTTTCTTTCTCTTTTCATAGAGCTAGACTACTCAACAAGTAATATTTGATTGCATTTGTGATTGATTTACATATCAATTGAAAAGTAATTTATTAATTGAAGAAAAAATATTCATATCCATCAAAATCTAAATGAATTTATATTTCTCTAACACATTCCCTCATATGTATTTATGTTAAAAAAATTCATAATATTTAATTATTTATTAACAGGATAAAGGGTAGTGATGATCAAACTCGTGATCCTATATTTCGCGTGAGGTTTTAAGATCATGTAAAGAACTAATTCAACCAAAAAATTAATTAATAATTTTATATTTCTTTTGACATTTTCTAATTAATGTCGAAACCTTTCTTTATATGGGAGGGTCATTTTTCTGTTTCTCCGATTTCTTTATTTGTATTTTTTCAATTTTGTTTGATCTTTCTGAATGGATAGGTTAAAAGGTTGAATTATACAATTAAGGATAATTAGTTCATTTTCTTAAATTATAATATCCAATATATATTACTTAAATTAGGTTACTTAATTTGTTGGCTAACTAAGTTTCAGAAATTCCCACTAGATATGATTAAGAAGAAGAATGTTTACATTTTGATGTAGCCATATGGTAATATACATGGAGATGGGAACATTTGAGTCCCCATTACAAGAGGGTTGAAATTATGCCCGCGGTGAAAAGGAGTCAAAAAGTCTTTGTTTGTTTACACAGGAAATTCATTGCGTTTTTGAATTTGGAAATCCTTCACAAACCCCACGCGGCCCCACCCTATAAACGACATTAATTAGTAATTAAGAAAGTAGAATAAAATCCATGCACGTAACTCGCACATTGACTTCAATTTTGGTATCATCCTCACCCATTGATATTATATTTGGACAAGACTTGTTCCTTCTCCTTCAGTCACTGAGCACTTGTATATGTGTTGAGATATATAGTCCCACATTGATTAGATGGGTAATTAATATGGTCTTTATAAGGCCTTGGGCACACCCTTTGAGCTAGCTTTTGGAGGTGGTGTATCTCAAGGTTCTTTACATGGTATCAGAGCCTTACTGTCCCCCGCTTTAAAAAGTGGAATTAAAATAAAAAAAAGCACAAAAAGTTAAACCAAAAATGGGCCTGTGCAATTTCCACGCTTCTAGCCTAAAAAGGCTCTTGCGTGAGAGGGTGTGTTGAGATATATAGTCTTACATTGATTAGATGGTCAACTAATATGACCTTTATAAGGCCTTGGGCACTCCCACCATTTGAGCTAGCTTTTGGGGTGATGTATCCCAAGGTTCTTTACAATATGTTTACAAATTAACGAAGAGAGTAATTGATTCTTCATTTCAATGTCCAAGATTATAATTTAGACTTAATTTTTTTTGCTTATATAGTTTAGAGATTATGAGTTTGTATAGTTTATAAGAGTTCATATATTCAAAATTCTATATTGTTATTGTCACCCGCAAAAAAGTAACTAAATAAAAAAAAGATTGTACCTAATTGTACTGGACATACCTTTTCTAACCTGAATTTGATGGGTCCCCAAAGAAGAGAAACAATATATATTATGACCATAACAGTTAATGGATTACCCCGACCTGCTATAGATTTTGACATCAAACACTCACAAATAGCAGCCTATATACATCCACTTTGTAAAGATTTCAGACCTTCTAAACTTGCTTAGATTATTGGCTTTCTAGTTTTACGTGGAAAATCATAGTCACATATTTAATAAGATTCAGATTAATTAAATTTTAAATATTATGGATCACCAATTAATTAGTTTGGCTCATGTATATGATCACTTTTATTATAAACAATTAAACTTTGTGAAGATTATGTTCGGTTTGTGATGAGTTTCTTATGATGGGTAGGTTAACCCATATTGTTATCGATCATAAGTAGAGGCATTTATTCTCATTTTATATTTAATATTGTTTTCCAATTGATCCATTAGAATTTTGCGCACATAAGGAATGAGAATAGTTTCTCTCAACCTCACACACATAAATATCCAATCAATGCACATCTCGAGATTGCAGCGTACTCGAAAGTAATTGTTATAGGAGACGGTTATATTTACAAACTTTTTATTTACAAACTACACTAAGTATGACCGGTCATACTTCAATCAAGAGTGTATGACCGGTCATACTTAGTGTAATTTGTAAAAAAAAATTGTAAACGGATCCTTCACCATTGTTATATTTGAAACAGCTGTGTTGATATAATAGAGTTTCCTTACTTGAACATCCTCAAAAAAGAACAAACCAACCATGCAATGGCATAATAAACCTCCAAATTGAAACCCCGCAGAAATCATGAACACTATATATCTATATTGTACATCAAAACACATTTGGTAATGTATTGTTAACTATTTTAATATTATCTACATACTACAACTTACAAACTATGCTGATAAGAGTTTTGTTATTTTTATGTTATAGGAAGAGAAATTTTTTCCTTCAATAACTAAATCTAATATTTTATCTTGGGTTTTTTTTCTCTTCCTCTATTAAATTAAAATATTTGGTTTAGTTGTTGTAAAAGAAATTTTCTCTTTCCTGCAGTATAAGAGTAATAAAAGCCCTTTAATAAACAATTAATAATAGCATCTCTAATATAAAAAACGGTTGTTATTATTATTATACTAAAAAATAACACGTTGTTCCTAATTTTTTTTTTTTTTTTTTTTTTTTTGGGGTACAAGTACCGTTGTTCCCAATACTATTCTCATTCACACGAAGGTGTTGTATCAGTCAAAAAAATAATGGATTTAGATGTCGACATAGTAATGCTAATACTATGTCAGACTATGTGGTGAACCACGTGTTTTCTGTTCCGTTTCACGCTGCTAGAGCATCGATTCTTGTACGGAACTTTCCAAAAATGAAAAGCGCAATATTTATAATTTTTTTCATACATCTCCAAAAAGAAAAGTAAAACTGTGGGTAGAAAAATTTCATTCCTTCCTTAGTAAATTTAAATTAGTTTATTTTAGGTTTATTTTTTAAATTTTTTATTTTTTAAATAAAATTTAAAAAAGAATTTTCACAAAATAAATCATAAGGAATTAAGCACCTAATTTGTAAGAAATTCTAATAACCCTTTTTTAAAGGTGTCTAGCTAGATAACATATTTGTCAAAACTAACCTGATCAATTTAACTTTCCCGAAAGAAAAAATGAAAGTTATATTGCTTATATGAATGAAAATCTTTTACAATGAAACCAAAGTATTATTTAATAGTTTGAACAGGAATTTAAGAGAAATTTATGAAGATAAAATTTATATAATTATCATTATTCTCCTAAAAATACTAACATTCAGCAGGTAGTAATAAAAGAAACACCCTCAGTTTTTTGGCATGTTTGAGAAATATTAATTGACAGTGTTTGGAAGCATTAAAACTAGATTTTAATTGAATTAAAATTATTTAATTAAAAATTATTATTTTGATTACCAAAAAAAATAATTATTATTTTTGTTTAAAATTCGCTGAAAAAAAAAAGATTTTTTTTTTTTTGGAGGTTACAAGGAATTGAACACAACACCCTACACTACACACACTCTTAACACACACACCCCACACCACTAGGCTAACCCTAGTGGTGCGAAAAAAAAAAAAGATTTTAGTGCTTTTTAAATTGAAATCAGTTAAAATTATTTTTTTTAATAATCTTATTTTCTTATCCTTAATTAGAATAGATGAAACATATAAATAAGGGTAAAATTCTCAATTCCTGCGAGCAAGATCGAATCAAATTTCCTCTAAACTAACTAAATTTGAAAAAAATATAGATATAAACTATTTAATTATAAAAAGTTCAAATCAAATTAATTATTAAAATTAATGATTCCAACCATACTGGTTATGTCTTTTTTTTTTTTGAATACATAGAAAAAGAAAAGGACAACAAGCTACACACTCTCGGCAACGCAGTGCCTAGATCATCTTCAGAAACCAACTCCCTATACCCAACATGGGCACTATTATACCAGTGAGTATTCCAATCAGACGAATCAACGTGAGTAGCCATCCAATCCGCCACCTTGTTGCCCTCTCTCTATATATATGACATAACTCCACCCTCCAATGCTTAGAAATCAGCAATCTGATTCTGTTCACAAGTGGGTGGTAG